GATCTATTATTATTAAATCTTTCAAATTTGTTACCTAATATACTAAATTCATTTTCAATAATAGATCTGAAACTACCAAAAACTTTGTTATAATGTAACTCATTTATTGTTAGTTTACTATCTTTTTCTTTTCTTGCCGGATACATAAAATGCATATCTTTAAATTCATATCCTAAATTTAATGCATTTTCTTTAAATTGATTTATAAATAATGGATATCCACCATCCATAGCTAAACAATCACCAATGTGTAATTTGTTATATAAATTCATTCTTAAAAACATTGAACCATCATTCGATTCTCCACATTTTTCAGAATCAGAAATAAAGATAATCATTTTATTCATATCTGCAACAATTTGTGTTCTTATACCTGGCTTTTTAAATTTATATGAATGTAACTTTATTCTTTCTGTATCGGGATTATAATATTTAATTTTTGAATCATGACCATCAATTATTAATGTTACATTTTTAAAACCGGTAGGGTTATACAATTTTGCAGCTAATAATCTTATTCTTATATTAGAAAACAAACTTAATAAGCCAGTATTAACAATTTTATTAATTTTTTTATAATTACTTATCCAAAATTTTTTATATAAATCGTAAAATGTAGCATAACACATAAATTGTGCCATCTTTTGACCAGATAAACCACAAACCAAGTGATACAATAACAATAATCCTTTATCTATTTCTTTGTATGGTCCTGGATATTCAGTAGTTCCGTACAAAACATTTAAGAAATAGAAGACTGGTAAGTATCCTAACTGTTTTAATAATACATCTTTTATAAATCTTATATCTGGAATATTTTTTAAAGTAGTTCTATGATTATATCTTTTATTAATAGTACTCCAATTAGATTCATAAAAATACCATTTATTGATAATTAATTTTCTAATTTCTAAATTTAATTGTTCTTTAATTATATTATTATCTTCAATTGTCATTTTTATTTTAAAATATAAAATTCAATTTCTATAAATAAATATATTTTTTAATTTATAATGTGTAAAATAGAACTTTTTTAAAATATATTATAAAAAATAAATATAATCATATAATAACCAGCCACCTTCAAGGCGAGTGTTACAACATCAAAAAGTATTTGATTTAACTTAGGGAACTAAGTAGAAAAGGAAGCTTTTTCTGACCACACAAATCGAGTTTACAATCATAATCACCTTGGGCAGTGTCAAAAATGTCGTCGTAAACGATAGAACCAACCAATAGTACAATAAAGAACAAGAATATAAATTGATTTTTATTTAATACAAAACAGGATGAGTATTTATATGTTTTATGATTCGGCAGTGTTCTTTAAAAGGAAGGTATAGAGCCACTGCTTACACGCGGGAGTCTAATTCAGAAGACTTAGAGGGCTGCACCAAGGACTTGGTCCCACCAACGGCGTTCATTCCAAAAGGGAAGGAGCGGGATCTAAAATGAGTCTTACCCTTCAAAGACAAAGAGTTCAAGTGCGGACCGCGCTGTTTAGTCTATGCCGGAATTGTTGGAAGGAACTTATGATCTTTAAGCACGATAAATAGAATGGTTCCATGGTGTAATGGTTATCATATCGGTCTTTGAATCCGGTGATCCGAGTTCGATTCTCGGTGGGACCTTCATCGTACTTTATACAAGTTTGCACTATTGTCATACTTTTGTATTGTAACCAAGGTGACACGTGTCATATACTTTTGTCGTACTTTTTATACTGTAACAATAGCGGAGTTGAAACAGTGTAACTACTATTTTTGGGAATTTGTTTCAGAAGACGACATTGTTGAAGGACCAAGTTGTCAAAGGACGAAGTCATCCCAAATAGGAAACCAACAAAAAAATAATATAGTATAAATAACATTATCCTCTACAGCAACAAACCTACACTTTTAGCATCACATTTACTTTTATTCTTACAATAAATTCTTATTGTACCTCTTATATAACTCTTTATTGATTCATAAAAGTCCCTTGAAGTCACATTATACTTCATTGTAACCCTATTTTATCAAGCAAACCTTATTGCTATCTTTATTTGATCTATACAAGATCTGGTGGTCACTTATCAAACCAATTACAGTGACTCAAAAAATTGTTCATTTTGAAGCCGTTTTTTGACTTCTCGGCTTGTAGTTCCTCTGGAAATGTCGCAAGCAAACTCAAACTATATCAAAAGATAGCCAAGAAGTAGGGCTATCTTATGATATAAATGGAAGGTGTATTGTGTAACATAATCGCCGTAGAGCGCCGGTCAAAAATGAAGACCAAAATGAACAATTTTTTGGGTTTTTCTATTTTTAACATTTATTCATATTTAGTAATCGATTTGGCCACCATTAGTCTTAACAACCTTTCTTAATCTATCTGGCATGCTGCAGATAAGCTTGTCACATAATTCTGGTGTTACTTCTTTATACCAAATTTGTCTGACGCGTTCAAATAATTCATGGGACAACTCGCACTTCAGGCTACGATAGATATATGGGCGGTCCTGCGACCCAATTTCAATGCCCGAAGGCTTCCAAATATGGCAATATATACTTTCGGTCATGAGGAATCGAATGGTACTATTTTGGAAGCCCGCCCGAAAAAATTGGTTGAGATATGGCGGTTAGAAAATGAGAGGTACCGTCTCAGTTTTCGAGGTATAATCATAGGATTTTTTTTCGGCATTTTATCCTTCCATATAGTACAAAATTGTTTTAGGAGATTATATTTAGCGTCAGGCGTATGCATATCAGAATAAGCGACAGATATAAACAGTCTGTATGCAGTTATATCCATAAGCTACTCTGCTTTGACGATCTTCGATAGTATGGGAAGCTTATTAAGCGCAAGCTAGTAATCTGTTGTTGAATATAGTACGTCAGACTAGCAGCCAAGCTCTTCTGTACTCATGACTAAGAGAGAAATACGAAGTCAGCTTCGAAAATACATATACTGGTAGTCGCATTGAAGTATATATTGTATATTAACCAAATATATAAGCTTTATTGAATACGTCTTCTAATTCGACCACTTCTGGTTCTAGGAG